TCCTCTAGCTTCCTCTCACCCGCTACTGCCAGGCCAGCCCCACGTGTTTGCTCCTCTTGGCTTCCAGCAACAGTGGTTCCCTCCTCCCTCTGCTGCTCCCTTTGCTCCTCCCTCTGCTCCCTCTGCTCCCTCTGCTCCTCCCTCTGCTCCCTCTGCTCCTCCCTCTGCTCCCTCTGCTCCTCCCTCTGCTCCCTCTGCTCCTCCTCTGCTCCCTCTGCTCCCTCTGCTCCCTCTGCTCCCTCTGCTCCCTCTGCTCCCCCCTCTGCCACTCCCTCAGCCATCCGTTCTGAAGACCCAGTTCTGCTGCTTTCTCCCTCTCTTCAGCCCGCAGCCTCATGATCTCCCCCTCCATCCTCCCCACCTCCTCCACCATCTCCGCATGTTCAGCCAGCGCCTGTGCCATGGCCCGCTCCCCCTCGTCCTTAGCTGCCCTCAAGGCCCAGCACTCCTCCCTCAGTCTTCTCACTTCCCCCACCACTTCCCCTTCCACTCCCCATCCCTTCTCCCCATCCCCTCCACCGTCTCGTGTTCCCCGTCGTCATTCCACTGACCAAACGCCCTGCCCTCTCCATCTGCTATGCTTCTCCCACTCAACTCTTTCCTCAGCCTCTTGATCTCCCCCTCCATCCTCCCCACCTCCTCCGCCATCTCTGCATGCTCTGCCAGCGCCTGTGCCATGGCCCGCTCCCCCTCCTCCTTAGCTGTCGCCAAGGCTCGGCACTCCTCCCGAGCCTCCGACAGAGCGGACTCCAAGGCTCGGTAATCCGCCAGCAAGGCTCGGATGTCGTCCAGGTGTCGCTCCGTCAGCTGCACGGATTCCAGAGGCTCGGGTTGTTGGTGTAAAGAATCCCCCATAACAGATGCCGGAAGCTCGGGCTGGGGTTGTTGGTGTGAAGAATCCCTCATACCAGATGCATCCGCGGCAGCAGAAGCACGACTCACAGCGGGCCAGCAGGAGCAGCTGTAGCAACAGCAGCAGCACCGGAAACGCCAGCTGAGCTTTCCAGCTGCTGCTGCTGCCCTCCTTTGGCTTTCTGCTCCTCTAACTCGTGCACCCGCTCCTGTGCTGCTGCTGCTGTAGCACGGGCATCAGCAAGCTCCTCTAAGGCAGCCGAGAGCGCCTGCTGTGCTAATGCTACATCCTGAGACGCGTCAAAAGCTGCTGCTGTAGCACGAGCCCCAGCAAGCTCTTCCAGGGCAGCAGAGAGTGCCTGCTGTGCGGCTGCCAGCTCCCGCTGACTGGCTTTCAGAGCGGCAACTGCCTCCTTCTCCCTCTCCTCCCACATCACTGCCCTCCTCTCCACTCTCCTTTGCTATAGACTCACTCTCCCCCCGCCCTCTTCTCACTCTCCTCCGCCCTCTTCTCACTCTCCTGCAATCTCCCCAGCAGAGCCTCAGTCACAGCAGCAACTCGCCTCTCCACTTCCCTCTCCATGTCCCTCTCCACCTCCTCCTTCTCATCCTCTCCTCCCACCCTCCCCTCTGGGCCCTAGCCCCCCCTGCAGCAGCTTCCTCCAACGCCTCACGCATCCTAGCCACTGCTGCTCTCGCCTCCTCCCTCGCAGCCGTGGCTGCAGCCACAGCAGCGGCAATCTTCCCCTCCGCTCTCCGCCTTTCTTCCTCCAACACTCCCATTCTCGCCTGCATGGAAAAGATCACCTCGTCTCGCCCTGCAGCTGTGATTCTGCTGCTTTCGCGCCCTCCCTCGCTGCTGCTGCTGCTGCCACAGCACTCGCAGTCTCACTCTCCGCCCTCCGCTTCTCCTCCTCCAAGACCGCCATCCGCGCCTGCATGGAAAAGATTATATCGTCCCGCCGCCGCAGCTGCGACCGCAGACGAAGCACCTCGGCTCGGCTCCCACTGCCGGATACTAGTGGCTTTTCAGCCGACTCAAAGGTCATTTCAGCAGGACTGGTAGTACTGGTTGAGATTAGAGCCCTTTCAGCGGACTGAGAGCCCATTTCGGCACGCGGCATGCTGGCCGACACAAGCGGCTTGCCGACAGCGGGAGACGGCAGAGGAGAGAGGTGGGACACGTGGGACACAGTGAACGACCCTGGTGTCGAACTGTCGAGACACCCAAGAAGAGGAATGCCAGACCCTGACCCTGGGGTGGACGTGGACCCGTCAAGTCGCCCAGCAGGAAAGCCATGAGTAGAGGCAGAACGGAAGCCGTTTTGAGAGTACGGAGAGCTCTCTAAAGAGGCCGCAAGAGAGCCCGTTTCAACACTTACCCAACCCTCCTCCCCATTCCCCACTCCTCCTCCTCCTCCTCCTTCACCTCCTCCTCCACCTCCTCCTCCACCTCCTCCTCGTCCTCTGCCCCTTCCCTCCGAGCCCCACTGATATCCCCTGTGCCATTCGTCCCGAACCCCCTCCTCATACTCCCCTCCACAATCCTCCGAGTCCCCGTGCTCTCTCTTCCCTCCCCTAGAACCGCCCCCAGTCCCGTGCTTGCTGTGCGTCGAGCAGGGTGAAGCTCTTTCACCCACCTTGCCCCTATGAGGCGCCACTCCCCCTGTCGTGCACATATGGGGCGTCGCCCCCCCTGCCTTGCCCCTGGAGCGGCGGAGCACAGACGCAGGAGAGCCGTCTTTCCCCTCCTCACTTGAGTTAGGAGCACCCGGAGCACCAGCACTGACACCACTGCCACTGCCAGCATCAGCAGCACCACACGCACCACCACAAGCACCACCCTTACTACGTCTAGCAGCCGTGGCAGAAGCAGCAGCTTTAGCCGCATCCCGCATCCCGATTGCAGCTGTGGACTCTCCTCCAGATCCCTGTGCTTGCTTCTCTGCGAGAGAGAGACCTCGTAAGTCCCGTTCAAGAGCACTGGTGGTGGAGTTGCGAGGGGAGCATGCGGCTGCTGATCCTTTACTCCCGCTCCCCTCCTCGCCCGTTGCGCGCTCACATGTGGTCTTCTTCCTTCCTCCTCGTGCTTCACCTGCTCCGGCTGCTCTTGCTTCTCCTCCCCCTCCTCCTCCCCCTCCTCCTCCTGCTCCTCCTCCTGCTCCTCCTCCTGCTCCTCCTCCTCCGGACCTTTCACTTCGGCCGTGACTACTCACCCTCACCCCATCCTCCCTGCATCTGCCCCCTCTCCCCCCATTCCCCCCTGCGCTCTGTATCCCCGACGCAGCAGTGGTGCAGCACGAGGCTTCGGACGGCCGGCGAAACGGCAGAGGCTGGGCGTCCTCGCATCGGTGGTGGTGGGTGCTGTAACTGGGCCCCTGCTGGATCTGCTGCTGCTGCCCTGGCGACCTGCGTATACCTGCTGCTGCCATTGCGACTGCTGCCACCGCGCCCCCCGCCAGCGCCGCCCAGGGAAGCGCCTCTGGGGGAAGAAGGCGCTGATTCGCCCAGCGGTGGGGTTGGGAGGAAAGGGGGGGGCGGGGGGAGGGAGGGCGGGGGGGGGGACGGGGCAAGAGCAGGAGGGCATGAGCAGAGGAGGGGAAGGTACGGAGGAAGGTTGGTTTTGAGTTGAGACGTCTCAAAACCAACCTTGTATCGCAGGGCATGAGCACGGGAGGGAAGGAACGGAGGATGAAGAAGAAAAAAACGCGATTTCAGATGCAGCCACACCTTCAGACACTCCACATGTGCTATACCAGGAAAGATCCTTCCAATCCTTATATTCCACAGCATGCAGTTCACTTGTCCCTACATCTTACTCTGGATATTTTCTTCCTCTGATAAAACGTACCTCTTACCGTGATAAACCTATTAAGTCCTACCCTGGAATAGGCGTCTCGATGTCCAGATGCTGGCGATGACACATCCTGCCTCTGCCGCTTCGTCTGGGCTCCAGACTGCTGCTGCTGTTGATGGTGCTTATGCTGCTGCTGCTGCTGCTGCTGCTGCTGTGGCCGTTGCAGCGGCGATTCTTGTTTCGCCGAGTGCGAACTGTCATGCGCTTTTGCCCCTTCCCTCCTTGCAATATTCCGATCCTGATCTGAAGTGGACGACGCATCCCGGCCCTTCTTCCGAGGCTCTGTCTCAGGTTGGGACCGAAGCTCTCCAGCAGCGGACTGCGGAGCAGAGTCCTTCGACGGCGCATCTACTACAGCAGCAACTTGCGACGCAAAGTTGATGCGAACGCTGGCTTCTTCGACAATAGTCGCCGTGCGAACTTTATTCTGGCGGAGGACCAAGTAAAAGGAAAGGAAGCGAAAGATAGACAGCGGAATTATAAATCGGTTTCCAAAGCGGGAAAAGGTTTTATTGCGTGAAACTGGCCGTTGCCCCTTAGAAGAAGAAAAAAAGAAAAAGGGAAAGGAAGAAAAAAAAACGAGAAATCGGCTCGCAAAAGTGGACCGAGGGATCAACCGCGATGCATCGGGAGCTTCGCGAACTGGCGGGCGTCGACTAGACCGAATAAAGGACGGGCCAAGGACCAACAAACGGTTTCCTTTAGGTGTCTCACGTCGAGCATTTACCTTGATGCTAATAGATCCTTCCTTTGTGACATAGGTGCTCCAATCTGGTCGTTCCATGAAGGGAACTAATTTGGTAAGTATGACGTCACAAGAACGTTCTGGTGGAATAACAGTTTGGCGGAAAGAAGGAGCGGATGAGTTTGAAAATCAGCACCACGGCTGTGCTGCTGTCAGCAGCAACTATACTGTGAATAAACACCTAATGTAATGACATGGAAAGCTACCTAGAAACTAGATCGCGGGTTTTCTCCAAAAACGGCGGCAATTCACAAGGTTGATTCTTAGGGCGTAGTGTTTAGAGTTGCGCTTCCCGAATTGCGCAACTACTTGCGATTTCGCCAAAGACATTTGCCCATAAATGGACGTGCGAGGATGCCTCAAATGTTTGCGAAAACCATAACCTGTCCAAATCCCTAGGTTTCCTGATGGACCAAAACCCTTCCTATTGTTTTCTCGTGGGCCTGAATTCGCGAAAGGGGGATCAGCCAACCAGTGGACAAGAACGGTGGCGACAGCACCCAAACTGCCACGTTCGGCGAAAACCACAACGGTCACCTGAGGCAAGGCGATGGCGACTGGAACTGTGCTGTCACGAACAAGACGACTGGAAGCTTGCAGGGCGAATGGAGACAAGCACCCCACCCCCTCTGTGCACATGCTGGTAACTTCGCGACATTTTGGTAACCAGAAGATCAGCCCAATTCGCGAGCAGGAGTATGGATATGGACAATTTGGACGACACAGCGGTCGAGAGCTTTTTCGTGCGTTTCAGTGCGCCAAATGCGTTTCCATGCCGAACTATTTTCATCCCTCCCTGTAAACGTTCATTCCTCCCTGATCCAAACTAACTTTCTCGCTCGCCTCTCTTTTGGTGTGTGAATTACACGCCAGCCATGGTTGATTCTCAATGCATCACCAACTAGTCTACCGTTCTTATGCGGGCCCGGGCCGTCAACGCTGAATTCCGAATGATTAATGCTGCGACGGAGTGTGTTTGGCGGCAGCCGTCGCAGCACAGCGACACGTAACATGCAAAATCGCTGGAGGAGAAAAGGCGAAACGATTTCCGTTTCTGGCGCGAGCGAGGCCTTCGTGTCAGCCATGCAGCGCTTCTTCCGGTCCGATGGATCGTTACACCGCCCGCTCCGTTTACATTGTTGTACCACTAAGGTACAGTACGCATACTGCTAACGAAACTCGTCTTCCTAGTACTACGCGTTTTCTCTACTTGTCCAACGATAGAAGCAGATGAAGGTCCTAACAAGCCCGTTCTGACCCGATTTTTTTCAAAATCCTGCCCTTTCTTCCCCGCATTTCCAGGTGCTTGTCGCTCTTCTCCTGCTGCTCGGCCCGGCTCTCTCTGCTTCACAAACAACCAAGCGGCAAGAGTCGCCTAATGCGACCGCCGATCAGTCGCGTGGCAGTGTCAACAATAGCGCCTCATCCTCTTCGACGTCGAAAGCCTCCAAGGCGCCGAAGCTCACCCCATTCAACTTCACGCTCTACCATTCCAGGTTCGATCCTCGTCCCAGGTTTGTGGATTCCCGCTCTGGCTCAACTCCCCGCTCTGGGCTCAACTCCCCCGCTCTGGGCTCAACTCCCCCGCTCTGGGCTCAACTCCCCCGCTCTGGGCTCAACTCCCCCGCTCTGGGCTCAACTCCCCCGCTCTGGGCTCAACTCCCCCGCTCTGGGTTCAACTCCCCCGCTCTGGGCTCAACTCCCCCGCTCTGGGCTCAACTCCCCCGCTCTGGGCTCAGCTCGTTCGTTTCGGGTAGCGTTTACTACTCTAGGCTTTGAACTCCCCCCAGAGCTCCCTTCCGTGGCGTGGCCTCCTCCCTTCTGTTCCTGAGCTGTTCTGTTCAGCTCTCGTCCATCCCCTTTACCGGGCCTCTCGGACTGTACCATCTGCATGCCTTCGTCTGTATTGACTCCCCAGTACTGTGCGTTAAATTGGTTTTTGAAGTCTCAACAACCAATTCAACTCATCATATGAATCAACAACTCCCTGCCTGCTGTATCCGTGCATCTGTGCAGTGATGAGTTGCTTCGTGAGATACAATCTCTGGCCGCCCGGCATCCCCATGCTGCAGAGGTGAGCTGGCACTTGCCTTGCCGAGCTGGCACTTAGCGTTGCTGAGCTGGCAGCTGTCTTGTTGAATCGATCATTTTTTCCCTCGCATCATGCATATGACCAGTAGGGTAGGTTGCGTTCACAAAAACCTAATTTCCATGCCACATTCCCCTGTTATGTCCTCTATTGGAGGACCTCCAATCCAATGCATGCAGCTTAAGGAGATAACCATCCAATCTTCCGGCGGTTACAGATCAACCCTCACTGCGGTTACGCTACACTGTTCACGCATCCCACTACCTCGTTCCGAGGCTGACAACAGGCCCACAGGCTCGGATGGAAGCTCGGGCCAAACCTCCAATTCAGGCCTGGAAGGTGGTGGAGGAAGCTCAGAAGGAGGGCGTGTGACTATGGAGAGGGGAAACAGGAAGCAGTGGATGAGGGATGGGTCGAGTAGCAAGCACAGGCGGCTCATTAGCAGCAGCAGCGGCACCGTCAGCAGCAACAGCAGCAACAGGAGCGCTCCTGGTGCCAGGGAGGGCGATACTCGTGATGACAGGGAAATGAAGGAGATTAGAGCGACTAGAAGTCACGGTGGCTCTGCTGCTCGGCCAGCAGGCAGCAGAAGCTCGAGAAGTAGGAGCATGGAATTGGGGTCAGAAGCCGATTCTGGACCACGCCTAGGCAGAGTGGTGCCGCGGTGGGGTTGGAGGCTGCAGAGTGCTATTGAGCACGTTTTTTCCTCTGCACATAGCGCTGCTGCTGCCACTGCTGGTGGTGGTGGTGGTGGTGGTGGTGCTGGTGGTGGTGGTGCTGCTGGTGGTGGTGGTGGTGGTGCTGCTGCTGCTGCTGCTGCTGCTGCTGCTGCTGCTGCTGCTGGTGGTGGTACTGGTGGTGGTGGTGGTGGTGGTGGTGGTGGTGGTGGTGGTGGTGGTGGTGGTGGTGGTGGAGGAGGAGTGAGGCGGATACGGTGGGCTGTCAGCAAGCACGATGAGAAGGACGAGGACATGACGAGCCAGGGGCAAGCACTAGGGCATTCCTACCCCCAGGGGATTATGGAGTCACCGGAGGCACTGCATTCGGCGCCAGTACATCCCACAACAACCCTGCCATCATCGTTGGGATCGTTCCCATCCTCGCTATCAGCTTCCTCACATCAGACGAGTGTATCAGCACCACCAGTAGGCTGGACAAACCTTACAGCAGCCCGACACTCAGATGTCTCCAGAACCTCCTCGCTCAGGCAAGGCCTGCGCAGGGTTCAAGGCACGCCTTCACCTCTTCCTCGAGCTGCTGTGAAGCAAGAGCCCTCGCTGAGGAGACAATTGCACAGCGTTCAAGATGTCTCCAGGACCTCCTCGCTCAGGCGAATGCTGCGCAGCGTTCAAGGCACGCCTTCCCCTCTTCCTGGCGCCTCTGTGAAGCATGACCCGTCGACAGCGGCTGCTGCCACACAAGGTGCGTTTGCAAAAGGCGCTACTACCACAAGCAGGGGGGCTATTTTTTAGGCGCCTCAAAAATCATAGGCTTGTCGACACCAGTTGCTGCCACAAAAGGTGCTTTTGCAAAAGGCGCTACTACCACAAGCAGGGGGGTTTCTATGCAAAGTCATGCTTCTGATGCTGCTTCCACGCAGGCTACATCTGGGGAAGGTTCCAAGCTGCTTATTTGAAGGTTCTAATCCGATTACTAACTCTGGTGACTCTGGTGGTGCGTCTGCAGAGGGCAAGGGCACAGGCATGATTGGCAATGCTGCTGGGGGAGCTGCTAGAGGAGGAGAGGATGCAGCAGATGGCGATGGTGCGTTCACCGGCTTTGGTGGCGGTGCAGGCTATCTTGAGAGGAGTGGAGGTCGCAGTAACGCGTCGTGCAGCAGTGCGGCTAGCATCCCTGGCTTCTCCACTGACCTTCCTTCTGAGCTGTCCGGGAAGCTGCGCGTTCTCCTCGTAAGTGCCGCTTCTGGCTGTCTCGTTGTCCACGCGACGCGACGAACAAACTACAGCTGCAGTAACGCGTCGTGCAGCAGTGCGGCTAGCATCCCTCCCTGGCTTCTCGACTGACCTTCCTTCAGAGCTGTCTGGAAAGCTCCGCATTCTCCTCGTAAGGGAGGCCATTGCGACTGAGGGGGGCTTCTCATTATCTCTTACTCTTTCATGATCCCTCCTTTTCTCCTCTCTCCCTCCCTCCCACCCCCTTCCCTCAAGGCTCAAGGTGTTTGGGCAGCACGGCAGGGAGGCCATTACTACAGAACTCGGCTTTAACTTGCTGAGGATCCTAGTGGGGGAGAGGGAGTTAGTTGAGAGAGGAGAGAAGCAGGAGAGTGAGAAACAGGGAGGGGCGGAGGATGACAAGGGGGGAGAGGGGGGGAAAGAGAAAGAGGAGGAAGGGGATGGGGGGAAGAAGGGAGAGGGGGAGGCGGGGGAGGAGGGAAAGAAGGGGGCGGAGGGAAACAAGGGTGGAATAAGCTGGGAGCAACTTGCACTGATCTGGCCGCACCTTGTCATCACGGTGGGTGCGATGGCTGTCTGTATGGGTGCACGCGTCTGCGTGTGTGCGTGTGTGTTGGAGGCGGGTTTTTGAGTCGACTCAAAAGGCATTAATCTGGCCGCACCTTGTCACGATGGGTGCGATGACTGTCTCTATGGGTGCACGCATCTGCGTGTGTGTGTGTTTGTGCGCGCGCGCGCGCGTGTGTGCATGCGTGCGTGTGTGAGTGCGTGCGTGCGTGCGTGTGTGTGTGGGGGGGGTGGTGGTGGTGGAGGGGGGGAGGGTACTGTGTGTTTGAGGGGGAGTGCGTGACTGTGTGTACGTGCATGCGTCATTCGCGCTTGCGTTTTGGGGGAAAAAGCGGGTGTGGATGAGTTGGAATTGTAAACGCATGCTGCATGTGTGCATATACATCGACGCGTTCCTTTCCTGTTGGCGAATGGCATGCAGTCACTTTGCTGAAATCCATACCCGTGCGACTCGCTGCATCTATGTGGCTGCTTTGCAGGTCGTTTTTGAGTTAACTCAATAGTCTGCATCTATGTGGCTGTTTTGCAGATCGTTTTGTCGTCAACTCAAAAGTCTGCATCTATGTGGGCTGTTTTGCAGATCGTTTTGTCGTCGACTCAAAAGTCTGCATCTATGTGGGCTGTTTTGCAGATCGTTTTGCCGTCGACTCAAAAGTCTGCATCTATGTGGCTGTTTCGCAGATCGTTTTTGAGTGAACACAAAATTCTGCATCTACGTTGCTGTTTTGCAGATTGTGGTGACTCTTGAGTCGACTCAAGAACCATTCAGTCTTTCTGTTGACCGCCATCCCTGTGCAACTCCCTGTATCTATTTGGGCTGTTTTGCAGATTGTGCCCATGGAGAATGTGAATGGGAGGAAGAAGGTGGAAGCGGGTCAGCTCTGTGAAAGACGAAACGGTGAGAAGAAAAGTGGTGGTGCGAAGAGATGTAACGGTGAGAAGAAGTGTATCGGATAGAAGATATGTAACGGTGAGAAGAGATGTAATGGATAGAAGAGATGTAAAGGATAGAAGCGATGTAACAGTGAGAAGAGATGTAACGGTGTGAAGTGATGTAACGGTGTGAAGAGATGTAATTGTAGTATGGCTCTTGAAGGAAGAGCGAGAATGCGAGGATTTTATGCATAATAAATACTAAGTTAGTGGCCACTGCATGTATGCGCCCGCAGCTTTTGGAGCAAGCTGTTAAGGACCAGAGTGCAACCACTGCATCAGAACCACGTTAAGACTGCTCTGATGCTGTGCCGATTTCCATCTATTCATCTTCTATCTATTCATCTATTCATCTTCTATCTATTCATCTATTCATCTTCTATCTATTCATCTATTCATCTTCTATCTATTCATCTTTTCATCTATTCATCTTCTATCTTCATCTATTCATCTTCATCGATTCATCTATTCATCTTCTATCTATTCATCTATTCATCTTCTATCTATTCATCTATTCATCTTCTATCTATTCAGCTATTCATCTTCTATCTATTCAGCTATTCATCTTCTATCTATTCAGCTATTCATCTTCTATCTGTTCATCTATCCATCTTCATCTATTCATCTATTCATCTTCTATCTCTTCATCTATTCATCTTCTATCTATTCAGCTATTCATCTTCTATCTATTCAACTATTCATCTTCTCTCCTCATGGCAGCTCATCTCTTCAGTCGACTCAAAAGCCCTCCCCCATGCCGGCTCCGTCCCCCATTCAAGTGGTGTTCACTCGTCCCCCCATTCAAGTGGTGTTCACTCGTCCCCCCATGCAATCTCGTTTCAAATCAAAGGAGCCATTCATCCATCCAACCGCGCCGTACATCCACCCCTCGCCTATCCCTTCTGCAGGTCGTGGCGTGGACGTCAACAGGAACTGGGATTGCGACTGGCTGCCACATAGAGTCACACTCCTGCCGTTCCTTCAATATCTCCTTTCCCCCATGACTTTTGAGTCGACTCAAAAGTCATCTAGAGGGACACTCCTGCCGTTCCTTCAATATCATCTTTCCCCCACACCACCCCCCCCCGCCCCCCCCCCTCCATCCCTTCTGCAGGTCGTGGCGTGGACATCAACAGGAACTGGGATTGCGACTGGGGAGTGAAGGAACAGGTAGCATGCCATACCTTACCATGCCATGCCATGCCATACCATACTACCATATCATGGCAAGCCATGCCAGATCATGCCATACCATAACATGCCATACCATAACATGCCATACCATGACATGCCATACCATGGCATGCCATACCATAACATGCCATACCATAACATGCCATACCATGACATGCCATACCATAACATGCCATACCATAACATGCCATACCATGACATGCCATACCATAACGTGCCATACCATAACATGCCATACCATAACATGCCATACCATGACATGCCATACCATAACATGCCATACCATGACATGCCATACCATGACATGCCATACCATGACATGCCATACCATAACGTGCCATACCATAACATGCCATACCATAACATGCCATACCATGACATGCCATACCATAACATGCCATACCATGACATGCCATACCATGACATGCCATACCATGACATGCCATACCATAACGTGCCATACCATAACATGCCATACCATAACATGCCATACCATGACATGCCATACCATAACATGCCATACCATGACATGCCATACCATGACATGCCATACCATGACATGCCATACCATAACATGCCATACCATGACATGCCATACCATAGCATGCCATACCATAACATGCCATACCATGACATGCCATACCATAACATGCCATACCATAACATGCCATACCATGTTCTACTGTACCCCTGCACTGCACTGGTAGGCAGCACCTATTCGTTCAGTGAGCCAGAGGCAGAGGCAATGAGGCACCTGGCGGTGTGGTTTTGGCAGCATATCTGGGTGAATGAACCGCTTTTTTAGCCTTTGAGGCACCTCAAATGCATGTCTGGGCGAATGCACCGCTTTTTTAGCGTTTGAGTCACCTCAAAAGCATATCTGGATGAATGAACCGTTTTTTTAGCCGAATCAAACGCTGCATGCCTGACAGGCGGTTGTGAATGACGCTCGCCACCTCTCTGCACAGGCACTCCCTTGCTCTCCTTTTTCCTTGCTCGCCGCACAGGACTACAGCGCTCTAGAGGAAGCACCTGGCAGGCACCTGGCAGTTGCCTTCAGCAAGCTAGAAACAGAGGCCATAAGGCACCTGGTAGTGTGGTTCCGACCACACGTGTGGCTGACGGGTGAACCTTGCACCTTTCACGCTCCCTGCCCTACCATCCCTGCTCCTCCCAGGACTAGAACGCTCTAGGGGAAGCACCTGGCACCCATTCCTTCAGCAAGCTAGAAACAGAGGCCATAAGGCAACTGGCACTGTGGCTCCGACCACACGTGTGGGTGAACCGTGCACCTTCCACTCTCCCTCGCCTACCTGTCCCTGCTCCTCCCAGGATTACAACCCTCTAGAGGAGGCCCCTGGCGGCAATGCGTTCAGCGAGCCAGAGGCAGAGGCGATGAGGCAGCTGGCGGTGTGGTTTCGGCCGCATGTGAGGGTGAATGAAGCTCTCCGTTTCCCCGCCCTCTCTGCTATTCCTTCCAACTCCCAGGACTGCAACCCTCTAGAGGAGGCCCCTGGCGCCCATGCGTTCAGCGAGCCAGAGACAGAGGCGATGAGGCAACTGGCCGTGTGGTTTCGGCCGCATGTGAGGGTGAATGAAGCTCTCCGTTTCCCCGCCCTCTCTGCTATTCCTTCCAACTCCCAGGACTACAACCCTCTAGAGGAGGCCCCTGGCGCCCGTGCGTTCAGCGAGCCAGAGACAGAGGCGATGAGGCAACTGGCCGTGTGGTTTCGCCCCCATGTGTGGGTGAACGTGCATTCGGGCATGGAGGCGCTTTTCACACCGCTTGACCACCGGGGGGACGGTGTTGATGCTGCCACGCTGGCTGCCATGCACGTGAGCAGGGGACGGGATGTGTGTATTTTGAGTGCATGTGTGGATGAGCCTACATGTGTGGGTGAATATGCATTCGGGCATGGAGGCGCTTTCACTCCCCTTGACCGCTGGGAGGGTGGCGTGGATGCTGCCACGCTGGTTGCCATGCATGCGAGTGGAAAGGAGGGGAACGAGGGAGTGAGTGAGGTAGTGAATGAAAGTGTGAGCACGTGAGTGCGAGAGAGGGTGAGTTTATGTGAGGGGTTTATGTGCATCGGGCATGGAGGTTCACTTCACTGCACTCCACTTGACCGCTGGGGGGGTGGCGTTGATTGATACTCGCACACTGGCTGCCATGCACGTGAGTGGGTGACTGAGGAAGGAAGGATGGAAACGAGGCTCCCCTGTCATCAGGCTCTCTTGGAGCGCCTGCATGCAGCACACTGTGGAGCTCGCTGTGTCATTCCCCCCCCTCCCCTCTCCTACTCCCCCCTCTCTCCCCTCTCTCTCCCTTACATCCCCACCCCCTCCTGCCATCAGTCCCTCTTGGAGCATCTGGATGCAGCACACTGTGGGGGTCGCTGTGTCATCCCCCCCCCCTCCCCCCCCCTCCCCTCCCTTCGTTTCTCCCCCCTCTCTCCCTGACATCCCCACCCCTCCTGCCATCAGTCCCTCTTGGAGCGCCTGGACGCAACACACTGTGGGGGTCGCTGTGTCATCCCCCCCCCCTCCCCCCCCCTCCCCTCCCTTCGTTTCTCCCCCCTCTCTCCCTTACATTCCCACCCCCTCCTGCCATCAGTCCCTCTTGGAGCGCCTAGACGCAGCACACTGTGGGGGTCGCTGTGTCATCGGCTCTGGTGGGGGCTTCGTGGGGTGAGTACCACCCACCCACGATGTGGTTAGCAGGATATTCTTCAGTAGTACAGGCATTTGCTCCTTGTGTGTATGCCCCCCATTTTTTAGGCGCCTCAAAAATAGACTCCTCACGCATGGGGGTGGGGGCTTCGTGGGGTGAGTACCACCCACTAAGGGGTTTGCAGGATAGTCTTCAGTAGTACAGGCATTTGCCCCTTGTGTATGCCCGCCCTTATTTTAACGCATTTTTGTCTCAGTCCCATGTGTTGATCCCTACCCCGCTTTCCTCCTATGTTGTTCCGAACCCCCTTTGTCATCTTTTTGTTCGTAACCCCCCAACCCCCACCCCTACTTGCCCTTCTCCTGAATCCCCTCATGGATCCCTCCTCTGTTTCTGTCACATCCATCTCACAACTGAGACGGCTACTGATGTTACGTGCATTAATTCCACCACTCACGCCTCTCTTCACGCGATTCCTCTTAGGTACTTGGCTCCTTTCTACTCCTCATCTGAGTTGCTACAAACGCGTTTAGCGTTTGAACGCTAAACGCTCAGAAGCGTGTCTGTGAACGCTAGGCAAACGCTTGCCCGGGCAGGGGTAATTTTTTTTCCCGGGCAGGGGTAAAATTTTCCTGTGGGGAAGGGGGGAAACATGGGGGTACTGCCAGCAAGCAATTTGGCTCCAAAAAAAGGTGTTGAATGTTTTACGTAGGAAAAATGGCTATGTCTATGGCGCGCGGCAGTTAGGGTAAGCGGTTTTGACGGGGGAGGGGATTGCGAACTTGCGTGGATCTATGAGATGTGAGGGGGAGGGGTTGGATGTTCTAGTTGATGATGTGTGGAGTGCGGTTGAGGGGGGGAGTTGGTTGGGAGGTGAATTTTGACTTGGTTTGGAGTTGGGACTTGGCGAATGTCGCGCTGAATTTGCCAAGTCTCAGTTTCGCAGTAAAAAATTTCACGTTTTTTTCGGAGGGGCAGACCGGAAAATTTCCCAGCGAGCGTTTGCGTTTTTGGGTCCGTTTAGCGTTTGCGTTCGAACGCTGGCATCCGAACGCTAAACGCGCGTCTGCCAGAGCGTTTGTAGCAACTAAGCTCCTCATGGCACGGCCACTCGATGGATGTGCCATGTGTACTCCCCATTCAAATCCCTCACTCGCCACGCCTACTTCTCCTTTCTCCCTCTCCCTGCAGGTACTTCGCCCACGGCACAGCCACTGACTGGATGTACGACGCGCTGCTTACACCCTCTCCTCTACACCCCCCTCTCCACCCTCCCTCTGATCCTGCAGGTACTTCGCCCACGGCACGGCCACTGATTGGATGTACGACGTGCTGCAAGTGCCGCTTGTTTTCACATTTGAGGTGAGAAGTGCCGGCTGCATTTTAAGTCAGACTCAAAACACGCGATGTGCTGCGAGTGCCGCTTGCCGTCACATTTGAGGTGAGAGCAGCCATTGATGAATGTCAGGCATGATAGCACAGTACTTTGTTACTGTGTCGTCGTGCTCTCATGCCTTTTAACAAACGCGTCAACCAGGCAGATCTTCTACCTGGCATCTGTGTTGCCTTGGGAGTTCAACTCAAAATACACCTTTTTTTTTGTTTTTTTTTTTGAGTTCGTCCAGACGGCATGCTCTTCACCTCTTTCTAAACACCTTGGTCGTCTTGGTTATGAAGCCGCCAACAACTCCACTGCCACACACTTTTTTCCAGTTCCGTCCTCATCCTCTTGCTCTCCTTTCGTTTCTTAACCATGGCCGTTTTCATGGTTATTCTCCAGACGTTTGGCGACGAGAGCTTTCCGACTACTGATTGCTTCCCGCTCTTCAATCCAATCACTGCTGAAAAGTTCCAGGTACTCTCTACCCCATATTCTCTCCTTTTTTAATTCCTTCCTTCATCCCATAAACCATGTTTTTGTTTTTGTGCAGGACAATACTACAATTTAGTAACAACACTTGTCACAAGAAGGATCCTCTTTTTTGTCAACTGCTTCTCTTTTCTTTCCGTTCCTTTCCCTTTACCTACGCCCTCTACTATGCATTCAGGAAGTGGTCAACTCATGGACAGCGCTTTTCGTTTCATTCCTCACTCTCCTCCCGGATACCCTCAACAAGATCCCTCACCGCATGCTGCCTCCTTTCAACTTCTCTCTCCCCCCACCTCCGCCAATAGCATCATCACCTCCTGGACTTCCCCTTCACACTACCACTCACATGCGCCCGCATCTCATATTGCTCTCACACCTGCAGGTGCCACTGCCTCATCTGCACTTTCTGTTGCCGCTTGTCCTTCTTTTAGGCGTCTCTGCCATAGTTCCACGGCTGTTTGCTGTTGCTGTGAGATCTGAACACACGAGGAGGCGTATAATGCGTCGACTGCTACGCAGGCAATGATATTTAGTATTGACAGTGGAAATGTTTTCAGTGGTTGAGTAGTATGCATCAGTTACGGTACCATACCAGTGCACAAAATGCAAATGCAAATGTCAGTTTGCACAGTTCAACAGAGGTTGGATTACTCAGCAAATCTCGTGGTCAATGTGCACTACAATGGCACAAGCGTAGAATGATTTGTTTGGCTCCGACTTTCCATGAAAAAATCACATTAACACAATTCCAAGTAACAGCACGCCAAACAACTACATCACAGGCCGGCTAGGACACTGGCCTACTGACCCCCACGGAGGCGGAGGACAAGGTGAAGGGTTGACTCCTTCTGGATGTTGTAATCCGCCAGAGTACGTCCATCCTCCAACTGCTTGCCAGCGAAGATAAGACGCTGCTGGTCAGGGGGGATACCCTCCTTGTCCTGGATCTTGGCCTTCACGTTATCAATGGTATCGCTGCTCTCCACCTCGAGAGTAATCGTCTTGCCGGTAAGGGTCTTCACGAAAATCTGCATGCCACCACGAAGGCGAAGGACCAGATGCAGCGTCGACTCTTTCTGAATGTTGTAATCAGCGAGTGTACGACCATCCTCCAGCTGCTTGCCGGCGAAAATCAGACGCTGCTGGTCAGGGGGGATACCCTCCTTGTCCTGAATCTTGGCCTTCACGTTATCGATGGTATCGCTGCTCTCCACCTCAAGGGTGATGGTCTTGCCGGTGAGGGTCTTAACGAAGATCTGCATCCCACCGCGAAGACGCAGCACCAGGTGAAGGGTTGACTCCTTCTGGATGTTGTAATCGGCGAGGGTACGACCGTCCTCGAGCTGCTTGCCGGCGAAAATCAGACGCTGCTGGTCAGGGGGGATACCCTCCTTGTCCTGGATTTTGGCCTTCACGTTGTCGATGGTGTCGCTGCTCTCGACCTCAAGGGTGATAGTCTTGCCGGTCAGGGTCTTGACAAAAATCTGCATCCCACCGCGGAGTCGCAGCACCAGATGCAGGGTCGACTCCTTCTGGATGTTGTAATCGGCGAGGGTACGACCGTCCTCGAGCTGCTTGCCAGCGAAGATAAGACGCTGCTGGTCAGGGGGGATACCCTCCTTGTCCTGAATCTTGGCCTTCACGTTGTCGATGGTGTCGCTGCTCTCGACCTCAAGCGTGATGGTCTTTCCGGTCAGAGTCTTCACGAAAATTTGCATGCCACCACGGAGACGAAGCACCAGGTGAAGAGTAGACTCCTTCTGGATGTTGTAGTCAGCAAGGGTACGGCCGTCCTCCAACTGCTTGCCGGCGAAAATCAAACGCTGCTGGTCAGGGGGGATACCCTCCTTGTCCTGAATCTTGGCCTTGACGTTATCGATGGTGTCGCTGCTCTCAACCTCCAGGGTGATGGTCTTCCCGGTGAGAGTCTTGACGAAGATCTGCATACCACCACGAAGGCGGAGGACCAGATGCAGCGTCGACTCCTTCTGGATGTTGTAGTCAGCAAGAGTACGACCGTCCTCCAGTTGCTTCCCGGCGAAAATAAGCCGCTGCTGGTCAGGGGGGATACCCTCCTTGTCCTGAATCTTGGCCTTCACGTTATCGATGGTATCGCTGCTCTCCACCTCAAGGGTGATGGTCTTGCCGGTGAGGGTCTTAACAAAGATCTGCATGGTGCCTGACGACGATTAACCAACTGAGCGAGTACAGGAGAGCGAGAGGGGGAAAAGCTTACAAGCTGAAGGAACTGAAGAACGCTGCTGAAAACGTAATGCTCTACAGAAGAAAGCCAAGACTATTTATTTCTGAGAAGCTTGAGCTGCTTTGGATGGGTCGGACAGTTCGTTGGAGGGAGTGGTGCTGGAGGGGAGGGGAGAGAGAGAGGTTGGCTTGGGTTCGGTTTGGTGGCTGGCAGAGAGCTGAACCAGGAAGCAGGTGGGGTTTCTGGAAACGCGTTTGCGAAGCCCACAAGCAACCAGGTCCGGCAAAACCACAAGCAACCAGGTCCGGCAAAACCACAAGCAACCAGGCCTGGAAAACAGTTTGGGGAGCAGCTGGGACACCCAGCACGCATACAGGCTGGGCGGGCCCAAGGCACTTCTGGAAAACCCCAGGGTTCCAGGTTTGATAGCCTCGATTTTCCCGCAGATGGTGTTTGGTCTGGCTCGGGAAGGCTCGGTTTCCGGTTCGGCAAGCTGCTGGCTTGGGTTCTGCCATTCGTTGCATTCATGTCACGTCAACGGCGATGGTGTGGTGGTGGTTGCGATACGGACGCCATGTGTCTCCATGGCCAACCAGCCTCGTCTGCGACGGAAGCTCTATCGCTGGGCTTCACGCGACGACAATGCGGGGGAAGTTCATGTGCTGTCGCCGCCGACCAGTCAAACAGGGAGAACAGATTCCTGCAGAGCAATTGGAAGTTGAACAAGCTGCGACCTAAACATTTTCCCACGATTCGCGAAATCTTTCGAACTCTGGCGAAGCTTCCAGTCGTGTCTCGTTAAACTGGAAACGGAGGATAATGTATCATCGTGAATCGTCGTCAACATCGCGAAGATCCAGCGTTGCCCAGCCCTGTCAGTGTCAGCCTTGGTATCCGTGTCAGCCCTGTCGCTCCTCCCCCCAACAGAAGTTACCGAGCCCAGTAGCTTCGCGAACCATCGTCTCCTCACCCTTCGCGAAGGTCCGTGAACAATCCAGACCAGGGGGCTCCCTTCCACTCGTCCCTCACTCTGCAGACTTCGAGAGCTTACCTGAAGCTTGTTCGTGGATGGCCGCCATGGCTGCTGGCTGGGGTATTATGGTGCTACCTTGTTCAACTATATTAACGAGCTCGTGCTCCGTTCTCAAACCACTAAATTATTTCAAGCTCACTCGCTTTCTACGTCCACGCGCTCAAATCCCAAGCTTTTTTCGTGACACTAGTTTGACACCAGATAGCCCAGATTAGACAACTATGGCTAAAGGCAGCGGACCCGCTATTGGAATCGACCTCGGAACGACCTACAGTTGCGTCGGAGTGTGGCAGAATGACCGAGTAGAGATCGTCGCAAATGACCAGGGAAATCGCACGACCCCGTCGTACGTCGCATTCACGGACACGGAGCGACTCATCGGCGACGCAGCGAAGAATCAAGTGGCAATGAACCCGAGAAACACGGTCTTCGATGCTAAGCGGTTGATCGGCCGTCGCTACTCCGATCCGACAGTTCAGGCTGACGCGAATCTATGGCCGTTCAAGGTGGTTCGTGGTGCGTCCGACAAGCCGTTGATCGAGGTGGAATTTAAGGGAGAGGAGAAACGATTCTCAGCCGAGGAGATCTCATCGATGGTGCTGGTGAAGATGAAGGAGGTAGCTGAAGCTTACCTTGGGACTACCGTGAACAATGCGGTGATAACGGTGCCAGCTTACTTCAACGATTCGCAGAGACAAGCCACCAAGGACGCTGGCGCCATTGCAGGACTAAACGTGCTCCGCATCATCAACGAGCCGACAGCAGCTGCTATCGCGTACGGCTTGGACAAGAAAGGCAGCAGCAGCAGCGCAGGCAGCGGAAAGGAGAAGAATGTCCTCATTTTCGACCTGGGAGGAGGCACGTTTGACGTGTCGATCCTGAGCATCGAAGACGGGATCTTCGAGGTGAAGGCGACGGCAGGAGACACGCATCTGGGGGGAGAGGACTTCGACAACCGCCTGGTGAACCACTTCGTCCAGGAATTCAAGAGGAAGCACCGGACGGACCCCAGTGGCAACCCCCGGGCTCTCCGGCGGCTCAGGACAGCGTGCGAGCGAGCCAAGCGGACGCTCTCAGCCACGGCACAAACAACGATAGAGATCGACTCGTTATACGAAGGAGTCGATTTTTATTCTACACTCACACGCGCTCGCTTCGAGGAGCTCAACATGGACCTGTTCCGGAAGTGCATGGAGCCGGTGGAAAAGTGCCTGAGGGATGCCAAGATGGACAAGGGGCAGATCCATGACGTGGTGCTGGTGGGGGGGTCTACCCGCATTCCCAAGGTGCAGCAGCTGCTGCAGGAGTTCTTCAACGGCCGGGAGCTCTGCAAGAGCATCAACCCGGACGAAGCAGTGGCGTACGGCGCTGCTGTTCAGGCCGCGATTCTGACTGGGGAGGGGAGTGCCAAGGTGCAGGATCTGCTGCTGCTGGACGTGGCTCCGCTCTCGCTTGGGCTGGAGACTGCAGGGGGAGTGATGACCACGCTGATTCCCCGCAACACCACGATTCCCACCAAGAAGCAGGAGATTTTCTCCACGTTTTCAGACAACCAGCCGGGGGTTCTGATCCAGGTGTATGAGGGGGAGAGGGCCCGGACTCGAGACAACAACCTGCTGGGGAAATTCGAGCTGGCAGGAATCCCTCCTGCCCCTCGCGGAGTCCCACAGATTACAGTCACGTTCGATATAGATGCGAATGGGATCCTGAACGTGAGTGCAGAGGAGAAGGCGACTGGGAAGAGCAGCAGGATCACGATTACGAATGACAAGGGGAGGCTCAGCCAGGCAGAGATTGACCGGCTGGTGAAGGAGGCTGAGAAATTCAGGGAGGAGGATGAGCAGGTGAAGAAGAGGGTAGAGGCTAAGAATGAGCTGGAGAATTATGCCTACCATGTGAGGAACACAGTGAGGGATGACAAGGTGGGTGGGAAGCTGAACGGGGAGGATAAACAGAAGATTGAGAGAGCTGTGCAGGAGACTGTGGATTGGCTGGAGAAGAATCAGCTGGGGGAAGTGGAGGAGTTTCAGGAGAAGCGGAAGGAGCTGGAGGGAGTGTGTTCGCCTATCATGTCGAGGATGTACCAGGCTGGTGCAGGGGATGGTTGCTGTGGGGCTCAGGGCGGTGGCTGTGGTTCTGCTGCTAGGGGAAAGAGTGGGGGATCAAGTGCAGAGCCAAAGATTGAGGAGGTGGATTGAATACTTTGAACAGATTGAGGTGGAAGGAGGGATGTCATTATGTACATTGCGAATGGCTGTAGCACTCGTGTACTGCTGTGCTACTTCTTTGTACTATCCAAGTCCAATATGTCCATTGAAAATTAATGAATGGAGTCTAGCTTCTGTAAACCTTATCCATGTTTAGTGTACACTGTTTCAGTATTGCTCCTTGTACCCAGTTTGAATATCCCGTATGGCCTCTTTGCCACGTCTTTCTTTGACAAACCATCCAACCAATCATCAGGCTCCATTGCCCTTCTCCCTCCAGCACAGGCCGCACCATGAAATTTCCGCGCTGCCCCCCTTCCGCTAACCCGCTTTCCGCGTCGCCACTTTCCGCTTCCCCGTTTTCCGCCTCCCCGCGTTCCGCCTTCCCGCTTTCCGCGTTGCTCCTCCGCCACTCCCTGCACTCGAAAGATACCTAGTAGGAGGATATTCTAAGCTTCTCATCAGTCCGTGCCTTACCTCCTGGTTGCTGCCACCGCTTCCTCTCCCCGCCACCCTTCACGTATTCCCTTCCGTCAGGCATTCCTGGCCGCTGTGCTCCGCCTTCCGTCGTTCCGCCTTCTGCCGTTCCGCCTTCTCTCGTCATTCCGCTACTTACCAACCACCCCCACCACATACCAACATCCGCAACACATAATGGCTTCCACCAGACAAGTCATCCGCCGCTCCGCCGATATCCTCCGCGCCTCCGCGTGCGTTCCCGCCTTCCGCCAAGCAGCACCCGCGCTGCTGCAAGCGCAACCTTCCGCGCAATACGTCACGTCATCGCCCCCCGCTTCCGCCTCCCCCGCCGTGCCGTCCGCATCTCTCTCCGCGCGCGCACTAGCTGATTCGCAGGTGTCAGGTATCGCTAGATTCACAAAGCCAGTAACGCGAGGATCTTATATCGAGTTGCAATGAAAACGTTGTAGGCCTTTCGTTGTAGGCCTTTCGTTGTAGCCGTTTGTCCATTTGTCGAGTTGCAGGAGACTCGAAGAAACGTCTTTCAGCAGAAGCGCGGCGCACCATCCCGCGCGGAAGATTTCGCGAAAGATTTCGCGGAAGATCTCTCGCGTTGTAGGCCTAAGGGCCGCATCCTTTCGTTGTACTCGCTTTCTCTTGCCTACGGGCCAACTCACCCCTTTTGTTGAGCCTCCTCTCTTCTCCTCTGCTCTCTCCTCCCCTCCCCCCTCCTCTCCTCACCAGCTGCATCTTTCCAGCGCCGCGGATTCGCCATCACTGCCACGGCGGATCTCGTGAAGCTACCACGTGTCAGCGATCCCAACGCCCTCAATACTCTCAAGGAGGCCCTGGCGACGGGCTGGATTCCGTGCGACTCGTCTCTAATCTCCAAGATCGACAAGACCATTGCAAGCACAGAGTAAGCTTCGGAAATTCCTTAAACCAAAGGGCCTGGCGACGGGCTGGGTTCCGCGCGACTCGTCCCTAATCTCCAAGATCGACAAGACGATCGCAAGCACGGAGTAAGACATTCAGTTCTCCAACCCAGCTTGTCTATTTTTTAGGCGCCTCAGAAATAGCTTCTCCAACCCAGCTATTCGGTCGCCAGGTGTCTCCAACTAGAGATTCCTTTGCAGAGGAGGCGGTAACGGCCTCCCTCAGCTCAGCTCGGCCCTTCAGGTCTCAGCAGAAACGGTTAACGTGTATGGCGAGAGGCTGCAGCCTCTCGCCGTTTCTGCTTTCGAGGCGCCTGAAAAGGAATCTTGAACTGGAGATTCCTTTTCGGAGGAGTCTAGTTTTGAGGCGCCTCAAAACTAGTCTCGCCGTTTCTGCGTTTGAGGCGCCTTTCGAGGCGCCTCAAAAGGAATCTTGAACTGGAGATTCCTTTTCGGAGGACGCAGTATCGGCCCTGCAGGCCTCAGCAGAGACGGTTAATGTGTATGGCGAGAGGCTGCAGCTGAAGCCGAGCTGAGGGGAGGCTTTCCTTCCATCCTCTTCCTTCCTTTCCTCTTCCATTCTTTTCTCTTCCTTCCTTTCCCCTTCCTTTAGAAAGAACACCACTTGGTGGTGGTTTTAGCCATACGTGGCAGCGGGCTTGTAAAACACTTATTGTTTAGAGAAAATTTATCGTTCCATCCTCTTCCTTCCTTTCCCCTTGCTTTCCCCTTCCTTTTACCGTCCCATCAGTGACTCCGTTGTAACGGACGGACTCTCGTGAAGCTACCACGTGTCTGAAAGCAGCAGCAGAACCTTCAGCCATCAGTCTGGGTGTTAGTATAAACTCGTTTTGAGATGCCTCAAAACATCAGTGACTCCGTAACTCCGTTGCAGTGACTCCGTTGCAGAGGACGCACACGAACTGCCGTCCCTGACCGCAGCAGCAGAGGCGGTGGAGGATCTTGGGAGAAGCTGGAATTTGAACTGGTTCCAATCCCCCTTCCCCTCCACCATCAGTGACTGAGCCCCAAAGGAGAAGCTGGAGCTGCTGCCACACAAGGTGCTAGACCCGACCCCAGCCCAGCATTCGTCGTCCGTCCCTCCTCCTTCCCCGTTGTGCCTGCAACCAGTGAAGCTAGTTTTGAGGCGCCTCAAAACTGAACTCGTCGTCCGTCCCTCCTCCTTCCCCGTTGTGCTTGCAACCCCGTTCTGCTGCCACAGAAGGTGCTAGACCCGACCCGAGTGAAGCTAGTGGTTCATCACTAGCGGCGGAGGAGGCGATGAATCACTGGTGATTCCTCAGGAATATCCGCTTCTAGGAATGACATTCCTAGAGGCAGCAGTGAAGCGTTGTCATTCCTGAAAGCAGCAGCAGAGGCGGTGGAGGTGTTTGGGTAGAAGCTGGAGCTGCTGCCTGCTGCTGCTGCCACAGAAGGTGCTTGACCCCAGCCCAGCAGCATTTGTCGTCCGTCCGTACCTGCTCCTCTCCCGTTTTGCTTGCTACCAGGGATGCTGTTGCAAAAGGAGGCTTTGACGTCCCTGAAAGCAGCAGCAGAGGCGGTGGAGGTGTTTGGGGAGGAGAAGGCAGAGCTGCTGCTCCGGAAGGTGTTCTAATCTGGCTTTGCACTTTCCTGTCTCTTTGCAACCAGGGATGCGGTGGCAAAGGAGGCTCTCACATCCCTGAAGGCGGCAGCAGAGGCGGTGGAAGTCTGTGGGGGAAAGGCAGAGCTGCTGGGGCTGGAGGAGCCACACTAGGTGTTTGACCTCAGCACTTCTCTGTCCCTCCGCCTCTACTGTTCTTTTTTTGCAACCAGGGATGCGGTGGCGAAGGAGGCTCTCACATCCCTGAAGGCGGCAGCAGAGGCGGTGGAGGTGTTTGGGGAGAAGCTGGAGCTGCTGAGGCTGGACCTGGACGAACTCAGTGGGGGCAAGTTCGGAGGCGAGGTGAGTCGGCTTATAGCGGGGATATTGGGTCTGCTTGTGACTGGAGGGTGTTTGGGGAGAAGCTGGAGCTGCTGAGGCTGGACCTGGACGAACTCATTGGGGGCAAGTTTGGCGGAGAGGTGAGTCGGCTTATAGCGGGGATGACTCTGCTTTTCAATGGTGGAGGCCTCTTGGGAAAGTCTGGAGGTGCTAAGGCTGGAGCTGGATGAGTGCAGTGCAAATTTGGTGGCGAGACGACTGCTTTTGAGTCGACTCAAAAGCGGATCTGGAGGTGCTAAGGCTGGAGCTGGATGAGTGCAGTGCAAATTTGGTGGCGAGACGACTGCTTTTGAGTCGACTCAAAAGCGGATCTGGAGGTGCTAAGGCTGGAGCTGGATGAATGCAGTGCAAATTTGTTGGCGAGACGACTGCTTTTGAGTCGACTCAAAAGCAGATCTGGAGGTGCTAAGGTTGGAGCTGGATGAGTGCAGTGCAAATTTGGTGGCGAGACGAGTCTGCTTATAGCGGCGATCATTAGCCTGTTTGTC